GTCTTTGGAGAAATGTCCATGTCCTTGGCCTCTTTTTTTACCTGGATTATTAGTTTTGGGGTGTTGAATTTTCTAAGTTCTTTATGCTGTATACTATCCGTTTATCGGGGATGTCATTTGCAAATATCTTCTACCCTTCCATCGGTTGGCTGTTAGCTTTGTTGATTCTTTCCTTCACTATGTAGGAGCTTTTTATTTTGACCAAGTCCCAGTAGTTTATTTTTGCTTTTATTTCCTATGCCTCAGACATATCTAGAAAAATGTTGCTACAGCTGATACCAAAGCAGTTACTGCCTATATTCTAGGATTTTGATGGTTTCAGATGTCACATTTAGGTCTTTAATCCATTTTGAGTTTATTTTTGTGTAAGATACAATGAAGTGGTCCAGTTTTCTCAGCACCCTATGTTGAAGACACTGTCTTTTTCCCATTGGGTATTCTTTCCTTCTTTGTGGAAAATTAACCATATGTGGGTCATCTCTGGTTTTTTGTATTCTGTCCTAATAATCTAGGTGTTATTTTTTTGTGCCAGTACCATACTGTTTTGATTACTACCACTTTGTAATATAACTTGAAGTCCAGAATTGTCATGCTTCCAGTTTTGCTCTTCTTTTTCAAGATTACTTTGGCTATTCCAGGTCTTTTTTGGTTCCATATAAATTGTAGGATTGTTTTAACTCTGTGAATGTGCTGGTGGTGTTTTGATAGGGATTGAATTTAATGTATAGGGTGCTTTGGTAGTAGACCAAGTGGTCTACTAAATGGTAGACATTTTTTTAATGTTTATTTTTGAGACAGAGACAGAATGCGAGTGGGTTAGGGGTAGAGAGAGAGGGAGACACAGAATCGGAAGCAGGCTCCAGGCTCTGAGCTGCCAGCACAGAGCCTGACGCGGGGCTCGAACTTATGAGCTGTGAGATAGTGACCTGAGCTGAAGTCGGATGCTCAACTGAGCCACCCAGGTGCCCCTAAATGGTAGACATTTTAATATTCTTCTAATCCATGAGTAGAGAGTATCTTTCCATTTGTGTCCTCTTCTATTTCTTTTGTCAGTGTTTCATAGTTTTCAGAGTACAGGTCTTTCACTTCTTTGGTTCAGTTCATTCCTAAGTATTTTATTTTGGTGCAATTGTAAATGGGAATGTTTTCTTAATTTCTTTTCTGCTTCATTTTTGGCATATAGGAATGCAAAATGTTTCTGTATGTTGACTTAGTATCCTGTGACTTAATTTATCAGTTCCAGCAGCGTTTTGGTGGAGTCTTTCTTTGGGTTTTCTGCATGTAGTATCACGTCATCTGCAAATAGCAAAAGTTTCACTTCTTCCTTGCCAACTTTGATGCCTTTTCTTTTTCTTGTCTGTTGCTGCGGCTAGGATTTCTAGTACTATGTTGAGTAAAAGTGGATGTCCTTGCCTTTTTAGGGGGAAAACTCCATGTTTCCCCATTAAAGATGTTTGTTTTTATTTTTTATTTTGTTTACTTCTGAGATAGAGACAGAGTATGAGTTGGGGAAGGGGGGCAGAGAGGGAGACGTGGAATCTGAAGCAGGCTCTGAGCTGTCAGCACAGAGCTGGAACTCACAAACCATGAGATCGTGACCTGAGCCGAAGTCAGATGCTTAACTGACTGAGCCACGCAGGGGCCCCTGATGTTTGTCTTTTAACAAGAGAGTACTTGCATTACACACATGCACACACACAAATCAAGGACCTGCTCGATTATGAGGTAATGCACTTCGATGTTGCATTGCAGTGTTAGCCCACAATTTCCTCCAGGCAAAGTCTGATGGCAGAAGCATCACTCTGTTGAGAGGATGATGGTTTCGGGGGTCCCGGACACGGGCTCTAGCCGGGCTTTGCCATGTCCCACATTAACTGCGCACACTTAGATAAGATGTGCATGTGCTGAGTCTCCATTTCCTTGTTTAGGGATAGACATCATCTTCAGAGCCGGTGGGAAGGCTAAATGCAGCATAACCCAAGTAGCGGTACATGGGCCACATTTATTCCAGAAACCGGAACCTTCATTTCACCCCTTCTAATAATTCAACTGAATTGATCAACCCTCTTAGATTTAGAAAAATACTGCTAGTTTGAAAACCGATTCTTCTGTAGAAGAACAAATACCTAATTCAACATCTATCAGGTGGGGGTATTTAACCAGGTCTACAAACTCTCTAAGATAACTGAGAGCATAGTAGGCATCACACACGGAGGGAGTCGCTATGTCCACCCTGTACCATTGTTATGAACATGCTGACCTGCCTTCTGACAATTAAATACAACCCATGACTTTGATACCCTCTCTTCTCACCTGTGTCTTCTGCCTTGGCCCAATAGCAACTCAACTATTTTTCAAGGATCATGCAACTCCCTTCAGAAAATGCGTATCAAGGTTTTTCATAAAAGAAGTAAATTCTAGACCCTCTGGGGGAACAAGGGATTACTGATCACAAATGATAAATGAATTCTGTCAAAGTCTTTGGGTCACTTGGTGTACTTGAGAGCAAATTTGAGCACCTCAGGCTAGCTCAGCGATGGGTACCAGTGACTCCATCCTCTGCAAGTGATTTCAGCCTGATCTAAACTCTGTCCTCAGCCCGCACACTCCCAGGATCCACTCCTACACGCGTTCTGCAGGACCTCGCCCGCATGAATTCACAATATTTTACACTCTTTGGTGTGTCTATCAGTTTGGATGGAGCACGGTAGGGAAGAAGAAGGGTGTGGAGGATTTTAGGATATGCAGGCATCTCTTACAGACGTGAGCGGCCAGTGTGCCATGTGGACTCTAAGGGTTGGTGGTTTTATTTGGTTTTGATTTTTAAGACCAAAGAACTTCAGTGTGCTTCAATGCAAAGAGGAAGAGAAGGGAAGTGATAGTCATGGAAGGGATCCAGAGAAAACCTGCAGAAATCCAAGAGGAAACAGAAAAGAAGGGACAGGTGTACAGCTAGTTGTATGGACTGGCGAGCCATAGGTTGGTGCTGTTGAATGGATCGTTTATACTACTTTATACCCTCTCGCAGAGGAATATTTAGTCCTGTGATAGACATTACATCGAGTGTTGGGGTACAGTGGCAAAAACGCCTGTTTTCTAGAGTTTACATTGTATTTAAACAAATGGAAAAAACCTCCCAGACTAACTGGGATAGAGAGGACCACACTTGGGTCTGCAGGTGAAACCTTTCCTGAGTCAGGGTCAGTGTCCAAAAGAATGATAGATGCGTGGAACAGCAGCTGTCTTGTTTGCTTTTGGGACTTCTGCAAAAGAGTGGAGGCATAATGGCCCAGCAGTAAGGTGGTGACACCATGGTCTAGCCTATGTGCATATCCAGTCCTGGCTTACAGGAGGTGGGAAAGAATGATTGGGACAATAGGGCTTCAGAAAGAACCCAGGGTGTTTTGGGGGTTGAGGATTACAATAGCGGAGGACGGAAGGTTGGAGGGGTTGTGTCTGTAATGCTGCCATGGACTGCAGCCACTTTGAAAAGATCTGTCTCCAGATGCTGGAAGTCTTCTGCTGAGATCAACCTTGCTTTGGCATGATCACTGTAATGTTGCAAACACGATGGGTTTCTTTATATTAATCTAACTCAGGGAAGGACTAAACTTTCCCGTTGGATGTGACAGCTGGAAGGTGTCTTGGATACCGATATACAAACCTATATATACTGACGACTTATCTGCATTTATAATCCTGTCTCTAGTAAACTCATTACTTTTGCCCAAGTAGCAGGTGTAGTTTACTTAGGAACATGGGGACAAATAACAATAGAAACTACTCCAAAACTAAGGTCCTTTCTGCAAAAGGAAAATAATGGTGGGTGGGGGGTGGAGTATGAGTGGAAAATAAATTTTTTCCATCATAGATTTAAAAGTAATGTTTAAGGGGGCGCCTGGGTGGCTCAGTTGGTTACTTCCGCTCAGGTCACAATCTTGCAGTTTGTGGGATCGAGCCCCACGTCGGGCTCTGTGCTGACAGCTCGGAGTGTGGAGCCTGCTTCAGATTCTGTAGCCTGCTTCGGATTCTGTCTCCCCCCTCTCTGCCCCTCCCCTGCTCGCGTGCTCGCTCCCTCTCAAAAATAAATGTAAAATTAAAAACAATGTTTAAATCTTACCTACATATAAAATATAAATGAATATATTGAATATATGTGTAATGTGTAAATTGAAATGCAGTAAAATGAAGTCTTCTCTGTTAAAAGGTATACATTAAGCAAGTTCAAGCACATGGGACCTTGGCCATGTGTAGAATCAAAGACCGTAGCTGGTGACCTAATTATAAACAAGAGTTGACTCCTGACTTCATTGAAATCAATATTTAAGACAAAGCAGGGGTGCCTGGGTGACTCAGTTGGTTAAGCATCCGACTCTTGGTTTCTGCTCAGGTTATGGTCTCATAGTTCGTGGGATCAAGCCCCATGTTGGGCTCCGTGATGACAGTGTGTAGCCTGCTTGGGATTCTCTCGGTCTCCCTGTCCCTCCCCTGCACACTTGTGTGTGTACACTCTCAAAAATACTTTGTTCCTGCTTCCACCTGTGTCACAGCTTATATCAGACTTACTTTCTCATCAAGAACAAGCAACGTAACTGGATAAATTGCACAAAGTCCCCAACTACTTGAGAGCATTAGAAAGCTGTCAAGGCAAGTAGGACTTAAGGGGGCAAGACCCTGGAGACCAGAAGATTACAAAATACAAGGCCTGGCATTCTGTATGGAATTTCCTTTCTGAAATCACCATATTCTAAGTTGCTAAGGAGTGAATGACCAAGAAATGAAAACAGTAGCTAGGAAGCTAAACCCTAAGCCCAGCAAAGTAGAACCACGAGCTCCCACAGAGACTCTTAAGGGCTCTGCTTCAAGAGTAGCCCACGACCCTGAGAATGGGCAGACACAAGACATTCCATCTCTAAGTGCATCCCAGTGAGCTGTGATGCCTGTGACTGGAAGAATACCAATGGGCTTTATTCTCTTGTGTAGCCCTCAGTGGCGGTGACCTGACATCCTAGGGGAAGGCTCCGGGCAAAGCATACATTATTCCTATGTCTCAAATTTTTAGCTCTAATGAATATGGTTAGGGAATTAGATGGCAAGGTGGAAAATTTTACCCAAGAATTGGAATCTAGATGATGGAACCAGAAGGAATGTTATAGATCTGTAATCACTAACGTATAATCCAGTTGAGGTGTTGTTAAACACCTCAAACTGTAGGGAGGGGCATTCATAAACTGAATTACAGGTCAGGAGCAAATTTATGCAATAATTGTACAAAGAAAAGGTGAGGTGGGGACTCCGGAACAGAGGTCACAAGGGAAGTATAGGTGTGAAAATGTATGGCCTGATTCCCAGCATCATAGGACCGGAGCAACATTTGGAGAAAAGTTCAAAATTTTTCCAAATCTGAAAAATTCAGATTTAAGAAATCCTAGATTCAGCCAAATATAATTGTGTCTTGAGAGACCGTGGTTACATTCCAGAAGACAAAGATGGAGAGGGAGAAAGTCCCCAGTGGGTCCCTTTAAAGGGACTGCTGCAGCAATGATGGAATGGACTTCTTAAACTGGAAATAAACTACAGGACTAGAACACTCCGTGAAAACAGACTTTAAAAAATTAAGACCAAATAAAGACCTTTTCAGGAAAATACAATCTGAGCCAATCACCTCAGAGCTCTGTGGAAGAAATGGTTCTGGAATCTTGGTAGTGCAAGGAAGAGGGAGGAGCCACGAGGATTGTCTAAAACTATCATCCCACTGCTAGAAGGGGTGGAGAATGAGAGCCTGGCGTGTCTTGGAGGCGGAAGGAGGTGCAGCCCTCTGCTGGTTCGTGTCCGTGGGCCCTCTCCACGTCTGTGCTTCTCTGTGTTGGAGGGGTGTCTTCCTCTGAACTGTGACTGCTGGCATCCTGTGGCTGAAGAGCCAGAGGACACACAAAGGACGTGGAAGCCACAGTGAAACGCCCAAGCCCACAAGCTGAGTTCTCTGCGTTCCGGACTCCTTGCCTTTCCTGCTCCTAAAGATGCAACGTCACTTTGGAGCTAAAAGGTCTGCTCTGGTCTCTGCTCTTGGCGCTTTTCTCTGTTTCTAGTCCCTGAGCTGCCTTAGTGTCACGTGGAGACAACAGTCCAGAACGTTTACCCTAAGCATCTGGCTTTCCTGAAGCCCGTGTCTGCAATGAGAGAGGCAGAGGCTGGAATAAAAGCCTTAAACCCAGAAACACTCTAAGTACCTCTCGTCCTTCCCTTTTAGGATTCCTGATACTTTTTGTCTTAAGATTCGTTTGTACATACAGGAAAAAAAAAATGGCAATTTCCAGTTCTAGGCAAGATGGAGTAAATGCATTCCACTCCTTTTCCAAACAGCTAAAAACTCTGACTAACATAAAAACCAAATGTCACAAAATTCTTACAGGTGGGGTAAAAATTAGACTAAGGGCATTGGGATGTGAGAAAGATACAGGGATTTTTATTTTTTAGATCCTCTGACCATGGGAAGCACTGCCTCTTCCATACCTTGACCCTGAAACCCAGTGGGTAGAGGTGGAAAAAAAAGACCCAAGGAACACCCACATTGTCTAGCCAAAGGACCTGCTAGGACCCCAGGATGGGTCTTCAGTGGTGCCCAGCCTACCCCAACTGAGCACCGGGAAATGCCCCACTCACACCCTTCCCCAGTGGGCTCCTATCTCACGGGGAGCAGAGTCGAGCCATGTGCCCATGCGTGCTTGGCAGTAGGGAGTAGAGCTGCTCCCCTCCCCCAAATGGGAGGAATATTAGGACGATACAGGGTCCTTGAAGACAGCGTGTGAAGTCTGAGGCCACCCTGGAGTTGAACCAACACTGCCAAAGGTTTGGCGCCTAAGAACAGGGACAAGCACCAGCATGGTAGAACAGCCTTGCGAGTCGACCTTTCAGCCATAGTCCCCAAAGCAGCCAGGTACGTGTATTCTATACTTAAATAGGCTGAATGGCCTGAGAAGAGAGGAGATTTAAATAGGACCCAGGGTCTCTGAGCACAATGCCTGAAATGTCCAGCGTGCAAGTGAAGATTAGTTGCACACCAAGAAACAGAGCATCTTAACTCTAATGAGATCAGACAAAGAACAGTCACTAACAATGAGAAACAGATGCTCTAATTATCTGACGGGATTTGTTGTCTCCAAGTAGTTATTAGCAACTTAAAAAAACACCTTGAATGAGACGTGTGCAGTTCTGCCGTGTAACCCTTAACTGGACATCATCTAACTAAACTGAAGGCTCTTGGAAATTGACTCCAAGTGTACAAGAGAGATGGTGATGATTTGTTCAAGGCAGCTAGAAGCCTACTAGGGAGATTGAATCAATCTCTGCCTTCTGGGAATTTATCCGGAACTTCTAGAGATGAGCATATGGATGGATTAGCACAGTTTAGGCAAACCCTAGATTATGTGTGCCCAAGTACATGAGTAGTCAGGTGAAATCATTTTTTCCTGAAGGTCCATGTGGGGATCCTGATGGATTGAGGTATACGTGTGATGAATTTTTTATGTGTGTAATTTTAAATGTATGCAAGTACCAATCCTCTCTTGTCCCCATAGTTGTCACAGGGCAGAGTGTTACCGAAGAAAATCCGCATCCGATATGACATGTACCACCCGAAGCAGGGTATGCCTGCATATCATTGTTTAGAAGAAGCGTTCTATATAAATGTGTATGGTCACTAAAAATCTAATGCAAATTTTTAAAGTACTCTTAATTGCAGCCTTAGTTAACCGATTTCTTGTTTACATTTCTTCTCTGTTGACATAATTAACTAGAAACGTGGGGGAAGAACTTTTGCCATTTGGCAGGAAATGCCAGAGCAGAGCACAATGAGACGACATTACAGGTTTAGGTTTAATCGTGAAGAGTCCTACAAACAGAGGTGACGTAGGTCCACCACTGTGTTCCCGGAGCCTAGAATCCAAACAGGAAGGGGCCACACAGAGAAGAACACGGGGAGCCCGCTTCTCTGTGCCCTTCTAGTGCCACCACCACGCCCTCCATCAGACAGGAGGAGAGGACACTGCTTGGGAACACGGTTTCTTGTAAAGCTTAACACATCTGTACGTCATGATGCTTTAATCCCTGGATACCTATCTCAGAAAAGTGGAGACGCGAGTGCACGTGCATGCCCGTGCGATAAACAGAAATAGGAGCATTTATTGTTTATAATTAAGAGTAGAGAACAGCCCAGATGTCCACTGAGCAGTCGCATGGGTAAGTGAAGCAGTTTATTCCTACAGAGAAACACTTCCCCAGCAGGAACAAGGAAGGCACTATGACCCACGCAATGACATAGACGGATTTCAAAATGTTTTGCTGAGTGAAGTCAGATACAGAAGAGCACACGTGGGGTCCCAGTTATATGAGGCTGAACAGCTGGAAGAAACATGGTGGTAGAAACCAGCGATTTCCTGGGCAGGGTGGGAAGAGGTGTGCTGGGCATCTTGGCATCTTAGGGTGGCCGTAACCAGGGTGTATGATGTTTCAACACTCATTTGAATTGTATGCTTAAAATCTGTGCACTCCATCGGGTGCCTGTTACACCTAAAAATGTGAGTGTTGTGAAAAACACAGGCTTAGGAAATATTCCAGATTAAAGATTATCATTGTATAATCTACTTCATTTGCCTGTACATCTGCCGTGTTGTTCTATTTATTATCTCTTATCTATAATATTAGTAACCAAGACCCGCATCAGAAAGGACTGAATATTGATAGGGGCGTCTGGCTGGCTCAGTAAGTGGAAAGTGCAACTCAGTCTAAGGATTGTGGGCTCGAGCCCCATGTCAGATGTAGAGATTACCTTAAAATCTTAAAAAAAAAAAAAAAAAAAAAAAACTTGATGGCTGCTAACTGCTGTTGTAGATTTCAAGGATTTTAATTGTTAGCAAAGTAATCTTCACTGCAGCCTCATAGGTATTTAAAGTTCGGGGCCAGTCATTTTTAACACTTCTTGGGGTTTTTCATGAAGTCCCCAGTTAAAGGACGTTTTGGGTATCAGTAAACAGCTGGTAAGCTGGTGCCCCAAGTGAATGGAAATTAGAAGTAGCATGTCTTGGAGAATTCTTTCCTAGAACTGTTATCGCTTTTCAGGCTTCCGACATGTCAAGGATGTGCCAGATCAGTACGGTGTCTTGATCAAAGGTGCTCCTGTTATGGAGATTTTCAAGACTCCATAGTGTGGTCCCACTGGTGTCCTGTTTCTCTCCTCGGATGCCCTCTGTTGGGGACTCCCTGGCCACTGAGCCCATCTGGTCATTTGCTCCCTCCATCTCCTACTCTGTTCCTTTCTTGTGAGTGGAGTCCCATTTCTTCAGCTTTTGAAACTCTTGGGGATTAAGTATGCTTCACGTTGTGACTGGATTTTATTAAAGTCTTTTTGATGGTTACGTCACGTTCTGTCAGTGTGTCTGGACCAGAGTTTAACACCAAATTGTAGTTAAATATCTTAACGTGTTGATGGAACCACAATTAGGCCAAAAGCTTTATTTTCTAAGACTAATTTCCCAGCATTCGAATTATTGGGTAAAAATGTTTCATGTATTTAGGACTTTTGATATTTACAAAACAAAATCCCCATCTTCCTTCCAAAACTTTCTGGGAATCTTCATCTCAAAATTATGCTCATTTTATTCCATCATTACCAGCACCAAGTATTAAGCTTTTTAACAAATCTCACAAAATAGGTGGAAAATTTTAATTTACAGGCATTTGCTTATTTGCAGGGGTCTATCGATGTTTGTTTACCAGTATGTTTCTATCGTGTGAAGTACGTTAATTTTTTGCTTCTCCTTCTGAGTGAGGGTTCGGTGTGTGTTTTAATTCACAGGAACTTGTCGCACAGTGAAAATACGTACTTTACTGTGTGTTGCTCTAAACCTATTTCCCTGATTTTCTCTCCCTGTTCACTTATTTATCACATCCACCTACTATATTTTTGAAATGCACATTTTTATGACCTCTTCAATTATTGCAAAACCTTGAAAATCCTCCTCCTACCAGAGCTTTGAGAGTTCAAAAAATTTTTATTATGGGAAATTTTAAACAAATGCAGGCAGAAAATATGCATCACTCAGTCTCCACGATCCCTCACATTCTGTGAGCTTCTAATGGCTCTGCTGCCCACCCCTCACTTGATGAAGATGATGATGAGGGTTGTATTTTGTAACCTTTGACATGAAATGTACATACATCAGAATGCCCAAGTCTAAATGGTACATGTTTGACTAATGGACACACGTGTGTAACATCTTCTGGGGTCCCCACCTCCCCATAGAGCTCCCACTGAGTCCCCCCACCAGAAGATCCATTGTGATTTTTTTTTTTTTACTATGTCGTATAATTTTTCCTTTTAAATAAAGCCCTGAGATTTGGCAGATTTTGTTATATATGTACTATTTTTCTCTAGGGTTTAAAAAATATTTGAATGCTTTATGTACTATTCTGCACACTTAAAACTTTACCAATATAAGGTTTACATTCAACTTTTTTTTCCCAGATTATAAGGCCTTTAGTTTCCATTTTCCTTAAATTTTGATGTGTCCTTCATTTTATAAGGGGCAGGTTGGGAGCACAGTGTGCATTTGATAGTATCAACATGATCTTTCCCAAAATAGGTGAAGCATTTACATGAGGGGCAAAATTTTTTATATATCAGAAGAAACCTATAACTTTTACTGGTCACTTGCATTGGCTTACCAAAAGCCACTGATGCGCAAGTGAGCACTGTTCTGATAGGATGGGCTGTATGGTCCTATATAAAAGTTAAACTGCTCTTAGTAGGTTTGGAGTTTATTTGAATTCTGCATAGGAGGAAGTCAAAAGAATGAATGCAAGTAAATTGGCTGTGAAAATCAACTGTAATGAATGTGGGTTTTGGGTTTGGTCTTTACATGACGAGTAACCAAAGCTTTGCGTCCACCATCTGCGATTCTCAGAAGTGAGGGGTCTGCTCTCCCGGGCCAGTCCATTTCTACAAAGTCCCGTCTTCGTTGTGTGCCTGGTTTGACAAAGGACCCCCGATGAGGTGAGAGAGGTGTGTCTGGGGGAGAGGGTGTGAACAGGGACTGAAGATAAGACACACACAGAAGGAGGCCTAGGAGGTCATAAAACTTACGAGATGGAGAAGGAAGGCCGGTGTGCATGGAAAGTTTTTTCCAGCCCGTTGGTCACAATGAAAGGGTATGTAAAACCTTGGTAATCTCTTTCGTGAAAAAAGGAAAAGGCCACAAGTCAGCACAGTTGGCGTTGCTGAGTGACACAAACCCACAGTGCAGCATCTGAAGGGGACGGGACCTCAGAAACCCAAGTCAGTCACTCCTTCCTACAGACTCCGGCCAGGGCTCTCCCTTCACCTGTATCTTTCTCTAGAGGCCATTCTCCACGCCGTTGGGACCACATGCCTCTTATGGACCGAGTGTGCCCCCATGTTCCAGTGCAGAAGGCCCTCCCCTGGGTGGCTGTGTTTGGACACTGGGCCTGTGAGGTGACACAGGTCAAAGGTCATGGGGGAAACATCCTGTAGATCGTGCCCTCCAAAGAGGAGGAAGAGGACCGAGAGCCTCTTCTCAGAAGAGCACACAGGTGAGGACACAGGGAGCAGGTGCCATCTGCAGGCCCTGTGAGCCCAGGGCAGAGTCGCGAGAACCGCTCCGTGTAGGCCACCACCTGTGGTCCCTTACGAACGCCCTCACCAAAACCACCTCTCGAGCCCATCACTCACTTTCCCAGCCATTCCACGTCTGCTCATTCATTTCTTCCAGGTCCGTGATGGAGCCACATATGTGGTTCCAGGAGCGGACCCCTAACATGTCTTTGCCGGAGGCCAGCCCACCCACCCTGCTGACCTGAGGGGTCCCCCCTCCTGTGAGCTGGCACCGAGGCCGGTGCTCCTCACCAAAAACCCCGGCAGGAAGATGCATAGCCCCCCCCCCTTTTCTGAGGATTCCCTCTGCTGCCGTGAGCAGAATCAGCCTTCAACTCCTGTAATTCTACTCCGATGGCACCCAGAATGCCACTGTCACAGCATTAACACACCACCTTTTAGTTCCTTCGGAGAGCTGATGGGCCTCAGCGAGGCTGGAAGGTACATGTCGCTGAGAGTGAGAGTGGAGCCTAATCCTGCTGGCTGTTCGGAGTCCCTGAGCAATCTCGAGGCCAGTCTGCCCTTCCTGGATAGTTTGACGACGACTCTTTCTACTGCAGCATACGTTTTCCACCTGTTGATACAATTCAGGCTACTTTCCATCCTGTTGGCCAGTAAGCGTGTTCCATACTTTCTAAAAAATTCCCTGTCCCGAATCTGTGTCTTTGACAAATAACATCGTTTGCCAGACCTGGTTGTAGGTACTGAGAATGCAGTAAAGCCAAGGATGCGCCTGCGCTCATAGGGATGTAGTTTTCATTATTGGGGTGAATGACCGACAGACTGGTCTGCCTGCACTAGGTCGGGGAAGCAGTGTGGCAGAGGAAAACCAAGCACAGTCTGTAGCGGATGACAGGAGTGAGGTGGCCACCTCGGAGAAGTCGGCAGCTTGTTCAGTGTGGTGCCTAGAGCACAGGTGTGGGAACCCGAGAGGGAGGCACTCCTCTTAGGGGGAGGAGTGAGCCCATCCCTGAGGTAAGGAAATGGGACCCAGGTCAAGTTCAAGCAAATGAGTGGCAAAGGGCTGAAGAAACCACAGGTGGTCGGGGGGGGGGGTCTGCATCCTGATGGTGCAGATGGTGGGAATATTTACCTCGTGCTGAGCTGTGAAGCCGTTGGACAGTGTGGAGTGGGAGTCCCACTGAGTAATTCTGTCTGTAGGAGCTCCTGCTGCTGCTGCATAGATGGGGGACCCAGAGCAGCCATGACCCCAGACAGGGAAGTCCAGTGACGTTGCCATGTTCCAGGAGACACGTGGGGGTGGCTGGGATTAGAATCAGGTGTCCACCGTGGAAGGTGTCATCTATCCGAAACGAGACCTCCACTCTGCTGCTGTGGGGGTTTTGCACATGGTACACAAGAGCAAGAATTCTCAAAGCGTCTGAGCAGATGGTATTGCCCTCCCCTAACAAGGGGACAGATGCCCAAATTGCCTTGTAAACTGGGAGCAAATGGATTCCAATGCAAAAGACACGAAGGCTGAACCCAAAAGTGCATCCCGGACGCGGCTTGGCCTTGGTCTGTGTGCTGTGCTGTGCTGTGCCCTTCTCCCCGATTCCCCTTCCTGACTGAGCCTGGGTTCCGTCTCCAGAAAACGGTTTCTGTTTCTTCTTCCCACTGGCAGACAGATTTCTCACTTTCCAGGCCCTGCTTTCACAGCATTTCTGATGTGCTTGAATGAGCAGCAAAGAACATTGTGATGGT